AAAGATTCAGATGTTAGCAGTTTTCACACATGTACTGCAACCCTTGGCCTTTGTAGAATATAACCAACAAAGGTTCATGTAAATACTGAATATCATCTTTAGGCTCCTGAGCACCATCAGTCCAGTTATACATCCATCCATTTTCTTAATCTGATTCAGGATTGGGGGTGGGGTCTGAGGTCTGGAGACTCTCCCAACTGTCATGGTGTGAGAGGAGAGGTAGACCCTCGACAAGTCGCCAGTATATAGCAGCACTAACACAGAGACAGCCAATTAACCTAACATGGATGTCACTGGACTGTAGGAGGAAGATTTAGTATCTGGAGGCAAAAGGGAAACATGCAGACACAGGACCTTCTTGCTGAGAGGCGACAGCTCTAACCACTGTGCCGCCCACTCCAGAGCTACAGTATTTTCCAAACATGCATCCATTTTCTTAACCTCTTATCAAATTCAGGGTCACAGAAGAGCTGGAGCCCATGTAAGCTGACGCAGGGCATCCAACTACAAATATTTAAAGCACAGGCTTATCGAGTAAAAACAAACGGCCTAATAGTCTAATATTCGTAACGCAAACCAGCTTACAACCCCGTGTACTGGTCATTTACAGGTCTGATTTTACATAAAAAGTAGCGTTGTTTTGGTTAAAGCGATATGTAAAACCACACTCTGCAAAGATTTTCTGGACATACACAGAGACAGTTTTAATAATGTGCCTTCAGATAACAGCATCATTATTTCTAAGCTGCACAAACAGTCAGGAGCGCTGTAACCAACAGTTACCCAGGTGGCTTACTGAGGCAATATCCTGTGCTGGCTTCTCTACCTCAGACCCTGCAGGTCTTGACCTGGTCACTGGCCAGATTTACCAGTCTGAAACCACTCAGTACACCTGACACAGCAGCAAGCTTCTGACCTTGAAATTCACGGGTGAAGAATTAGAGGACAAAGAAGGAAAGAATAACAGATAGAAGAAGAAGAAAATAAAGACTTCCCTGACATTTAAAAAGTACACATTTCTGGTCAAAGGTTATTTACTAAGTGAACTGTGTGCTAGCAGTTAGCAGCAGTGTGTCTGGATAGATATGTTACAGTGGTTATCTGACTGGTTGCATACTATTGATTTATTGTGTTTATGTGCAGCGAGTTTATAGTGCAAAGGTCACAAAAGTACTGACTTACAGAAATCATCTATATTACATGTTTACGACATTAAAAATGCACAAAGAAGCAGATGTTGTGATGAAATAGGAGTTATTTCATCAAACACAGAAGACCTGAATAATGCCCAACTGATCCTTCATCTGTTGTGTGTGCTAAAACTCCAACAGTTGAGGCTTACAGGAGAAGGGATGTGACACAGGTCTGTTTAGTTCACAGTTACACAAACTACAGTGTTTCATTTACCAAATCCGGGAGTGCCTTGTGTAAGACAACTTGTGTAATCAGTCATCTGAACAATGCCTGATCTCAACAAACATTGACAAGAACCATTTTTAAAACGGTTTTAAAGAAAGCAAAACAAAGCCATCTTTCCCATAACTTCCTCTGGAGTATTTCTGTAGCTACGGGAGTAAATGGATAGGAAACTGCTTAAGGCAACTGATGAGACGGATGTGGCAATTTTCATGTCACATGTATATGCAAGCATGGATAATGAAAGCCAAACAACACTTGGATAGATGTATTTAAGAGTGAAATATACAGAGAAGGCACTGGCAATTAATTGTGACGCTTGGTTGGCTGTGCAGTAATTTAACAATGGTTTCTACAGTAACCACTTCACCACAACATCATGACCTACAGTACATGCTCACACCAAAATGAAACATGTCAAGATTCGGTTGTTTTGTGGTGGATCGAAACTGACAAAAAAAAAAAAAGAGAAGGAAAACAACTGATGTGATTCAGAATTTGACAGACTTATAAGCAAATCCTCATTTACATGTAGTAAACTATCTCAGTTGGAACAAATCCTAATATCCACATGAAGTGCATATGAAGTGAATGTTCCAAAGCGGCTGCATTACACAATGCAACAAGCAGCACTGATACAGATCTGAGTGGAAGATGTAACTACGGGCAAAACAATACCGATCCACATCCACGCAAAGCGAGGCGAAAACAAATCTGCGTGAACTGATCGTGTCCGACTTGCCATTACGCCACCGTGCATATGCTTGAAAAGTACAGATTCACGAAGGAGATGTTCTTGAAGAAAAGAAGCAAAAGTGGAAATTGCGGCAGGTTTCAAAATGAGCTTGAGGACTATAAATATACACAGCAATTTCTTAACAGTCATTGTTATCCTTTGTTGGTTATTGAAACCTATATTTTAAATGTGTTGTTATTTTAAAAAAGGAGTTACACTTACATAATCAGTCCCTCTCCCTCTCTCAGACATGCACACCGACAGGGAGGCCATTCTACGCCCATCCTCCATCTGCCCTTGCAGTATCAAGGGGGCAAGAGGACAATGCTACTTTAGTTGATCTGATTCAACCACAAGGAAGAACAACATACTGCAGCTACAGGAAAGCTAGCTTAACTCTAACACCGGGATGTAACAGTCAGGCTTCTCGAAATTGTTGCAGAAACCCAAATCTGATCTACAGGCTGTTTGACACCAGTTGTAACGCCAGTTGTAACGCTTTTAACGCATTTAAATCTACAAAGCATGTTGGGAACTTCTTTCTCATTATACTTTTTCTGGTCTTTTTTTTTTTTTTTTTTTTTTATTAAGCCAACGGCTTTTTTTGTACCATCCAACCATGCTAATCTGTAATTTTGTGCTCATGAAGACATAACAGCTGCGTATGTGCACCTCTGCACAAAGCAGGGAGGAGGATGGAGACAAAGTGAGACACAGGAGAGCCTCCCTCCTTCCAGCATGAGCCGAAAGTGATGCTTCTATAAGATCATTATAGTATTCTATCACTGATGACCCCGTTCACATATCGCAACAAATGATTTTGCATACAGTAACTAATTAACTTAAGAGGACGGATATTAGCTGAACAGGTAATACAGAACTAGGTCACAACATTTGCCCAGTTATTTAATCAATTTAAGCTTTTTAAATCTTTTTGACATGTAAAAACTGTTAATAGAAGCAATAGGATGAAGTTATAAATTAGCTAACTACCTTGTTACAATTTTAGTTATCTTTTTTTAAACCACAATGCTAAATAAGTGAGCCACCATCCTTGTAATTATGCTGCCAGAAAACTAGCTAAAAGAGAGAGGATGTTCCTAATATTGTCCTCTTAAGGGAAGTCCACGCAGCAAGTGTGGTGACAATCAGAGACCACAGAAGGTCACTGACATTTAGTGGCTTTAAGCAATGATGGGGTGGGAGCTAAAAAAGCTCATTTCAAACGTTGGATGAACTGTACCAACACCCTGTACAAGACAAATGAGGATGTCTTAACTGAATCATGCAAAGCTAGTCTAGTAGAGTCCAAGAATAAAAATATGGAACTGTAAATGAGAATAACAGGCCCCCTTTAAATAGTCTCCTCATCAAAGCAAACTGGAACAGGTCAGACACGAACCTGGGCCGCACAACTACCTACAGCAATTAGCTGTTAACAACATTAATCCTAAATAGCTACTGAGAAGCATGTGCTCCCTCTCTAATACATGTCAAGACCTGTCCGCACAACCTTCTGGCTGCTGAGCCTGTGGAGTGTTGAGTCATTAACTGCTAATGAACAAGAAGAAAGGTCACAACAAGCATCACTTTTAACAGTTTTAAGTTACTTTGCATCTTTAGAGAATTTTGGATTCACTGGTAAAGAACGTGTCCAGGAAATCTGCAATCTATACGTTCAGTTATGATGTTGACAGGCTGCTGAATCTAAAAAGACATGCAGCCACCAGGACTATTTAACACGATCTATTTTCATCCATGACGACGACTACGACTGACACCAACTTGCAGGGACTTTGTCACAACGTAAAAAAGTAAAGGATATGTAGGGTACTTAAAGAAACATTTCACTGGATAGGCCCAGATGGGTCTATAGCCACCTCTGTCTCTTTCCCCTCCTCCTTATAACGACCAGCACAATCAATCACGGGCTAGATCAATAGAATGAATTTATCTCCAGGCCCCTCTACCTCTTTCCATTACAGCTGGTTTCTACATGTGACAGTACAATTATTTAAGCAGTCTTCATTGTATGTGGACCCAGCTTTTAAAATGAATGAACAGGTTGGATTTTTTTTTATTAAGGGGTGGCCACCCATGCCATGACATACAGTAAGTGATTAATGTAACTCTAAATCTTATAAATCATCAGACTCTCTTTTACACAGTGTAATAGGTCAAGAGCCTAATATATGCAAAGCATAAAGAACTGAGCAAGGTTCATGGATCTACAGTATCACCGTTTGTTGCTAATGGTTGTTTACGACTGGAACAAAAGCAATCTAACCATAATGTATTGTTATTCATCACTTAATGCAGATAGTTTTCTGACACTATTGTCTGTCGTTATACCCTCCATCGCCGTCTTCATTTTGTACCTCGCTCTCCCAGTCTCCCATTATAAAATCTTATCATTTTTTTTCTGTCCATGCTGTCTTCTCCCCCATTCCTATATGCCCCCCCCCCCCAATTCACATGGCACACACCACTGCAGTGAGAGCCACATTAGTCATCGCAAAGGACGCTCAGCTATAGAAGTACAGAGTCCAATAACAGGTTTAACACAGTAGCAAAAGCATCGTGTAAATCTGTGCCCTCCTGCTGTGTCTAAAAATAGAAGCTGTACCACATAATGCTATAATATTAATAGTTCACATAAATGACATCCTGCTGTTTAATAATTCAGGTGATGAGCAGCTACAACTGAAAAATATTCAGAACCAGACATATACGCTGGACATTCATGCTTAGTATACAACATAATTGGGAAGAAAAAGAGGACAATTCCATACAGTTAGTGAAAATTCCCATTCAACCATCTGAATAAACATCTTAGAGGCAAACTGACCTGAAAGGGGAAGATGTTATCGCTGCGGCCAACTCCATCATCCATCCAGGACTTGGGATTAAAGCCTGCGGGACTGTTTCGAGGGTACTTCTGGGATGCCACATGGTTGTTAGGGAAGGTCTTCTTCAATGGGGAGATAGAGTTAATGGGAGTCATCCCGCCATTCAGCCCGCGTCGATAATCTCTGCCTTGAGATCCTCCCCAGCCGCCACCACTACCATATCCTCCTCCGGGACTCCAGGAAGTGGAGGAGCCGGGGGAGGGAGAGGGACTCTGGTAGCTGGCTGGACCCCAGGGAGACGGGGGCTTGTTCAGGCTGTTGGACAAATGCGGCAACTGGCTGAAAGCTGCATTCCTGTGTGGGAAGGGCGGTGGTGGGTGGGGAGAAGCTGGAGAACGCCGATGCTGCTGGTGTTGGCTGTGGGGGTGCTGGAAATGGGGATGGGGTGGGGGAGCCGGGTGGTGCTGGGACAAGGCAGCAGCTGGTCCGATCTGGGGGGAGAAGTTCCCACCAAACCCTGGACTGACGTGGTGTGAGAAGTTCTGGAACAGCAGAGGCCCGTTACTGGCAGACGCCGGGTTGAAAAAGCTGACATCCTCGTTGATGATTGTTGATGGCGCAGGTGGGATGGCGGGTGACCAGTTGTTAAAGCCAGAAAGCGATGACGAGGTTGTACTGGACTGAACTGGGCCCGTACCCCCGAGACCAGATGTCTCCTGGTAATCAAAGCCTGTCAGAACAGGTGACTCAAGACGGAGCTGCTTCTCTTTTCCATTACTGCTGTCAGATGTGCCATTCTCTGTCTTGCCTTCCTCGGACCTGGCTTTTTCCAATTCTGAAATTATCCCAACGCCACTTCCACCCTCTTGGTGACTCCCAGGAGACATCTGCTGCTTTTCTTGCGTTTCTTGCATTTCCTGTTGCTGCTGTGCTTTGGGTTTTTCTGGCCCCCCCAGGATTTCGTCTTGCACGCTGTTGTGGGTGGCGGAGGCAGGGAAGAGCCAGGGAGAGCCTCCCGTGGTGCCATTCCCTGCGGCTGTGGTGCTGTTTATGAAAGCGGCAGGGCTCTGCGACACATTTTGGTGATGATGAGGGGGCTGCAGATGCGGGTGGATTCGGACCGGGAATGCAGACTTGTTGCCAGTGTTGTTTTGAACTAGAACTCCAAACCCGTAATCCCCCATTTGTTTTCTCCCCCCACAGACAAGTGCTATCCCGTGATCGTTTGGTCCTATAGAGAGAAGAGCATACAAGCATGGCATGCACTGAGTTAGCAGTCACCCACTCACATTAACCAACAGATCAAGGGATTTAGAAAAAAAACAACGAAGTGAGGGGACACAGAGGCATGGAAATCTCTTTATGTGTAGGTTCTAAATGAGATCCTACACACATATAACATTCACTGTACTGTGGCTTTAGAGCTCATCCTTAAAAAAAGCCAGCCAGTTAACGTTACATCTTTAGCTAATTATAACCCCGTGACGTTGCCAGATTGTCTACAGCTGAGCTGCTGGCAGCCACCAGTAAAGCCAGAACCACTGCTGTGTCGAGCATATAGTCTCCATTTGGGGACGTTTTACTAACGAAAACCAACTGACAGGCAACTAATTATCACCCAAGAAACGCACATTAGCACAAAATATCAACGAAGGCTGAAAATATTGACAAAAAACCAACAAAACCGTCAAAAATAAAACACTCGACCTTGTTTGACAGCTGTCAGCACCCTGGGAAGAGCCCACTATCAAAATTAAGTTTATATTAATACGGCTTTTTTATCAGTCGGGCAAATTATTGTTAATTAATCGGTTTCACGCGTCGACGGAGAAGCAGTTTAAATCGCTGTTAGCTGACCAGCTAACTTTTCCATCCGTTGCTAACATTAGCTTGCTAGCTAACGACCGTTAGCACGAATGCTAGCTAGCTGGACAGGTTGAAGGCAAGCGAATAAAACATCTCCTCACCTTCTGATCACCACCTTTCGACCTCGGCGTCGTCTGTGTCGAGATCCTTTCCCTCGGGCTGAGAGCGAGACGGTGTCCTTGAAACAATGAGTGCGGCAAGCAAAGGTTTTCAGAGGCGGTTTTAGTAGCTGACTCGTACAGTGCAGTCGGTCAGCTCTTTTTTTCTCTCTCCCTTCTCCTGACGTGTCCTGCCTGCTCAATGACACAGCTCTCTATCTGCTGCCTGTAATCTGGACCGTATCATCGAAGAGCTTTGTTAACGTGGCAGTGTGTGACTTATACTCGGTTCGTTCATAAAGCCTTATTCGATCGGTTTCATTGTTCGCTTTATTTTCTTTTCTTCTCACTAACTGTCTCTCCTTCAGAGCCAGCCGATCCTCTGTGTGTGTGCTTGCTTGCTTGCTTCTTGGCTGCCCCTCTCTCCTGGAACCGACCGTGGCCGAATGACAGCGAAAGATCAGCCGAGACACACTTCCGCTTCTGGGACGGCCCCTCTTCGCTTAGACCACGCCTTCACGGGGCCACACCTCGGTACGCGATTGGTTGGACCACCGGCAACCTCTCTAAAATTCTTCATCATTTAACAGCTATGCGCCAATAATATAACCACGCCGTGCTTTAAGGGCCTGCCCACTCAGGGCAGAAAAAAACCCTCCTCCCATCGCTATCCTGTCTTTTCACGATGCAGCCTATATCAGGTCGTGAGAAAAATGAGAAACCCAACCCCCCCACCAAAGCTTCAGTAAAAGCGCATCCTTGGCTCGGGCTTTTTGATCCCTAGCTCATTTGTTGTGTGGAGATGAAACAAGGAGGTATGCTATCGTTTTTTTTTGGTGGTCGTTTTGGTGTTCCTTTTCATGCATAACTTAAATGCAAATCTCGTCCTCTTCACACTGGCCACTGCACTCTGCAGTATTTTTCAGCATTATCATTTTTGTCAGGTGGCTATAGAGACTCCTCTTTTCAATGTTTCCCAATCAGTCAATCTTTATTCAGCACTCATTGTCCATAGAAAGAAATACACCCACAAAGAGACTACAGGAGTGCCTCCAATAAAGACTGATGTTTTGCCAAACCTGATATCCATTTAGCCCAGTGATCTCATTCTCAGGCGTGTTGAGCCTGAATATAAATTTAAACATGAGATTTCTTAATAAAGCTTTAAATATACAGATTCCAGCAGTTACAAGCATCTCACTTGCCATTTTAGTCTCTTTAGTAACAACCTCATGGCATCATTATAAGCTACATGTAGCTCGATTCCCTGTATTTCATCCACAGGTGTTCTGTATACAAATGTGTACAGTATGCTCTAAATGAAGAAATATTCACTCATTCTGTACATGCAGTAAATTTGCATAAGAGGATGTTCGCTTGAGCATACATTAACTGTCATGCCTATAAATATTGTTGTCATCTGTCATTGGATCTGCAGAAAGATCTGCAGGATATTTGATCTCATTACTGACAGTAAGATTATTATCTGACAATGTAAACTTTGGAAATCTGAGATAGATTTCCTCCTTAATCTATATAGAATCTAGAAATCATATCGCTCTTACAGGCATTGCGAGTAATACGCAGAACATATGTGAAGTAGCTGCTGGAGAGAAGCACTACTAGGACTGAAGACCACAAGATCATCTGCATACATGATGTGGTTCACTAAATTTACAGGCTCTCATATTCTTTGACACATCATCGACATAAAGATTCAAAAGAATTGTGGATAAAATCTCTCCTTGTTAGACAAGGAGTTATGTTGTATACCAAAAGAAAAGCTGGTTAATGTAATATCTCCTATCTGTGTTACATCTGTACTCACACTGTCTTATAATAGGTTTTATTATGAGAAAACAGCCTATTCAATCCAAAATCAAAAGCAGCTGTCATGTAATCATACAGTTAAATATGTAGTGACAACCAGGAAGCAGATTGCTTAGCAAAAAAGCTTCATGGCTATCAAATTGTCCCGTCTACATTACAGGAAAAACAAAAACCAGAAAGAGAGCTTTAAGTTTTTTAAACCCATTTCACCTCTCATCCAAGAGGCTCTTTCAGTTCAAAAACCAAAAGTCCCAGGTATTTAAGCCCTAATGCTGCTTAGGAGGTGGTCGTTGACACACTATTAATCACGTACGTCATCACATGAGACAAGGTGTGAAAAAAGACGTGGGTCATTACCACCAGAGGTTTCAGGTGAAACCACTGTGAGACCTTGCCCCACCCTATCATGTGACCTGTTGAGGTTACTTGATGTGAGTCAGGGTTGAGGCACCTGCCGTAAGCCACCACCTCCTTCGATGATGGTCCTCCACAGTGGACATAGGTGGCCTCTTTTACTCCAATTTCAAACCATCTGTCACTCCTCACTGCACTGCGCAGCGTACACTATGTTGCTTAGTTTCTGTTTGGGAGCTTTGTTTTACGGATGAACAGGTTTATGTCCGAGGGTGTGGCTGGGTCTGAAGTACAGTATGTACTTGTGTACACGTATATGTTCCTTTTGTTTCCCTTCTGCCATAGGGAACATTTTCTGTCAAGTATGGCAGGGTCCTGATCACCCCAAGCTTGTGTTCCGGAGGGTGGTGGGAGTTAAAAGTACAGATTTGTGTATGTGGGCTTCCAGTGAACTTCAATGTTAAGGCTTATATCCTTGTCAGTGTGCACAGCACAGTCCCAAAATGACAAACTATTATCCTTTGTACATTACACAAAATACACAAATCCATTATATTAGGCAGATTACAAGTGTCAGCTATGGTTCTATCTTGTGAACCAAACTTCATGTATGTATTATATAAATGCTTTATTCATTAAATCCATCCGTCCATCCATCCGTTCGTCCATCCATCTGTCCGTCCATCCATCCATCCATCCGGCCATCCATCCGTCTATCTATTCATTCTCTTCGGTTTATCCAATTCAGGGTCAAGACAGGGCAAGAAGCAGGGTGCCGATGCCATTTTATCTTCAAATTATTTTGTTTTGGTTGATTATTTTAATCATTTGGCACATTTTCTGAGATGTTTCAATGAACAAGGAGCATACTAGGAAATATATTACTTTTACCTCTGACTCTGGTCATAGTCCATTGTAGTGATCAGAAGCTGGAATGAAGATGCTATACTTATAGTGTGTGAGAGAGACATAGTATGTTCTGCCCCAGGCCCTAACAGAGTTTGAAGCCTGTGGGATAAAGCACCCTTAAGAGATAGAGCTATAGGTGCTTGTGTTTTCACTTTTGCACAAAGCCAGGTTAGTGTTTATGCTAACAAAACGTTGAATAAGCCTGCTTGTGTCCTGATTTAATGGACAGAAATTAGAGAGGAGACAATCTTATAATCTCAAATTCAGTAAAAAAGCACTCAAGAAAAGATTTCTTCTTTTGATCTAAAAAAGCAATTTTCTCCGTGTACAGCGTTAACTGACATCTAAGATTGATTTGATTCGTCATACCAATATGAATCTGTCCCAGTTTTTTCTAGGGTATCACATGTAGCCCATTTAAGAGATGTGGTTGTGTCTGCTTTACTCTGTTAGATGACCATCCAACCACCTTTTTTCCTTCATCACCCACCCACACCAATAACCTTCTACTCCTTTTATCTGTTTCCCTGTCCTTCTGTGTCCTTCTCTCTTGTATGGTCATTATCACAGAGAGGTCATCAAACAGCTTTGACTCTGTCAGTCTCACTGACCCTCAACTGGCAGTATTACACACAAGCCGCAAATGGCAATCTCATAAATCTGTCACTTCAAATCCAGCTGGGAGAGAGCGATAAATTAGGGGAACATGCAGTCTCCTGCATTATTTAATATATACAGGAAGGATGAACAGGCCATGGAGCAGGTATTAGCAGGGTTAAGGAGTGACCGGATTAAAGCAATCAGATTAAGAGAATAGATTGCAGATGCCTGATAATGTGGCCATTCACATTGTGCTCAGAGGTTGGCGTGAGCTGTGCAAATACCCGTAGATGTGTACAAATAAGACAATATTGCAATAAGAAATCCATCCACCTATCCTCTGCCACTTGATCTGGTTGTGGAGACAGTTAAGCCAAGATGCCCAGACTTCCCTCACCCAGCTACTTCCTGCAGCTCTTCTGGGGGAACTCCAAGGTGTTCCCAGCCAGCCAAAACACAGTATGTCCAGGGGCCTCTTCCAACTTGGGCATGTCCAAGAAACCCTCACATATAAGGCATCCAGGGGGTGATCAGATGCCCGGACCACCTCAACTGTTTTGTGTTTTTTTACTGTAGAGGAGCTTAACTGCAGTCTAACACTCGTATCACAAATTTCTATCATCATTTGCATTTCCTCTCCTCATTTTTTAAAATGTCTGTTCTGTTCCGCAAACAAAACTGTTCAAGGGAAATCTTCATGCACTGGAGGGTGAAAAACAGCAGGAAGAAGGAGTAATGTTTTTTTGTTTTTTGTTTTTTTTTTAAAAATCACAAATGAGATCCAGCTTTCTGCCACTCCTCATGCTCTACACTACAGTAGTATGAATAAAGAGTAGAGCATAAGGAATTCGATTTGTTTCAGTAGGAGGTGGTTCTTACCTAAAGATCTGTGGCTTGGAAACAATGCCAAATATTATTTTTTGTTCATGTTCTGCTTCAGAAATATTTATATTGAATTTAAGTTGCACAATTAAATCCTCTTTTTATATTCTCCAAAATATAATTAAGCCCCATGACTGTCTAAACATAATAAAATAATCATTTTACCCCTACTGCTTTTGTTAATTAGAGTATCGTGTCCACAGTAGCTCCATCCTAACACTTTTATCTTAAATTTCTATCATATACACGTGACCTCCGTTTCCCTTTTTCATCATTCTTCAATCTCCACTCTGGTCTGCAAACAAAATTGCTTAAAAGAAATCTTCTTCATACACTGGGGGGAGAAAATCAGCAGGAGGAAGGACTAATATTTAAAAATCCTAAATGTGATCCAGTTTTATGGCCCTTCTTGAGTGTAGGACACAGTATTCCTTTCACAGTGGGGCAGATGATTAGGCAGAGTGCTCGGTGCTGTAAATGGATTTCTAGGACAGAATAACCGGTCCTGCTGGCCTCACTCAGAAGACAACACCCTCTCCTCCTACTGTCCCTTTTCTCTGCCTTTTGCTGTCTGTCACAAAAATACATTGTTTTGTTCCAAATTCTTCATGCCCAGAACAACCCTAAATAAAGCACGAGGCAGAAGGGGAAGTAAATTACATATTTATGAAACTATTTATAAGACCTACTGTGAATCTACAGTTTCAGCCTGAAATTCGACTTTTTTCAAAGCTACCGAGATGTGTAATTTATCTACTGTATGAACTTACTAATAGCCAGTTTTATCATGTATTCACTTTCTGGCAATGGTTTTCTGTGCGCTCTGCCATATTCAAGAGTGGATAGGTACTATGAATAAAACATTGAATCCATTAAAAAATTAATCACCTCTACCTAAGGCATAATTATGGTGCAATTCCTCCCAGAGTGTACGCGCGCATGTGTGTGTGTTTGTGAGTCAAGTGTGCATTTATAAGCGTGCACAGAGGTGCCTGAGAGCAAATACATACAAGTTCACAA